CTCGAATGTAGGGCTGAGAAATCTTACCTCTTTAGGACAATGTGTAATTGTAGTTATATTTACCAAACTACAGTAAAAAAAATCAACTGGTTATAAATCGTTTTTTGTGAGCCAGTAATTGCTACATTTTTGAGGAAGGGGACACTGCAGACCAAACCATTTATTTTGTGGCTCAAATCGAATTTCGAATTATTTATAAAATTATCTCATTATTCACCTGAAAAATTAACTGTTAACTGTTAATAATTACATTTGCATAATCACCTAATCAAGGTATTTTACATGTGCTCACTAGTGCTCGCTCTAGTAGCTACTACTTTTGCAACTTTTCGCAATAGAAAAGTTAGGCGTATTATCAATACGAAGATGCTCGAGAAGATTTAGCCGGTGATTGATGAATAAAGTATTACCGTGAAGTCGACAACTTTTCAGTGTAGGACTGGAGAAATGTACCTCTTTATTTGTAGGACAGTGTAACCATTTAATTGTAGTAATATTTACTAAGCTACATTAAAAAAATCAACTGGTTATAAATCATTTTTTATGTAACGTATCTGCTACATGTTTGAGAAGGGAGACAGCCTAGATCAAACCATTTATTTTGTCGGACAAATGTTGTTTCATATTATTTATGAAACTATCTCAACATTTAGCTAAAAAATTAACTGTTATTATTCACATTTGTATGATCACCAAATAGACATGTTTTCCACCTGCGCACTCTGTTAGCTACCTGTTTTTGGAAGTTTCGCAAAAGAAAATTTGGGCGTCTTATCAAAATGAAGATACTCACGAAGATTTAGCCGGTTATTAATGAAAAAAGTTAAATCGTGAAATCGACAACTTTTGAGTGTAGGACTGAAAATAGCTACCTGTTTATTTGTAGGACAGTGTGACCATTTAATTTTAATAATATTTACCAACCTACATTGAAAAAATCAACTTGTTATTAATCATTTTTTATGCAACGTAATTGCTACATGTTTAAGGGGGGGGGACATTGTAGACCAAACCCTTTATTTTGTCGGACAAATGTTGTTTCAAATTATTCATAAAATTATCTCAACATTTAGCTGAAAAACTAACTGTTATTAATTAAATTTTCATAGTCACCAAATCGACATGTTTTACACCTGCGCAGTATGTTAGCTACCTGTTTTATTTTCGTGAGAAAAAAGTTGGGCGTCTCGGTGAAATGAAGCTGCATTGAAAAAACTAGCTTGTTATTAATGATTTGGAAAAATGGTCCTCGGCCCCCGGACTATCAAGGTACATTTTTTTAAAATGCCTGATAAAAAGAATAAAAATAAACAGGAAAGAGATTTCTTGATTTTATGTCAATAAAATAAATGTGTGGGACATACATTGCTGCATGTCGTGGAAAAAATGGGCGCCTACGCTTGTATCTTCATCTCGATCTCCACTCACAATAATTCTCTAAGAATCCTGCTTATTTACACAGTTTAATAAAGTTTAAGGATAAGCCCGTTTTTCAACTTTTCAGAAGTAGGTACGTCAGGTAAAGTTTTATTTCAATTTGTTGAAGCCAGAGTTTTGCATAGTATGCGACAGATTCGGTCAATGCACTTTTGACTTCTAAAAAAAAAAACATAAGAATAAAATGGTTATTGTCTTTGTCAGTTTATTGCTTATATCGGTAGTACCTACCAATGAAAATACGGAATTCCTACGTAATTGTACTTATATTGTTTGCAGAGTCTCAAAATTACGCCTGTAATTGACGTAGTTATTTTTTCTATATAGTTCAATCTTGTACTTGAGAATTACGGGAAATGGTATTTTTTCGCACGCGACCGCAAAATTTTTCCTGCGAGCTCCTATAGCTTCCAAAGTATAACATTTAATCATGGGCATATTTTATGGTTAGGTTGGCAAGGTAAAGGTAAATGATTCTGACAGTAATCGCTCTTCTATCTGTGTGATGTGTCGTCAGCCAAGCCGCTGTTAATGAGCTTAAACCACGTGTTAGACTAAGAAATAATCCTTTGTTCTTCTTCTTCGTATCCAAATTTACAACAATATCTTCACATTTCCGCGGCTCCACTAAAAACTCAATATAATAACAATACCAACTTTTATTGAACTAATTGTCTTCAGAAAATTTCTAGAAAGAGTAGATGAATCCTCCTAGGATGTCTTCTTGAGCACTTTTAAGCTGTTCGGGAGTAGAGCTCCCCGATAGGAGAAATTTTTTGTCGTTGTCAACGTAATCGAAAAGTAAACGAGAATGATAAAGACGAAAAATTTGTTCTCTCGGGAAGCTCTACACCCTGAGACGAGAATCGGGCCCCTGGGTTGTTAAGCAGTTCAACAAAACGACGTTTGATTTGAAAATCGTACTATTGCCTATTGCAACTTCTCAATCGAAGGATGAGACTCAACAAAATATGGGCACGATCTAAGTCATACTCTACAGTCACTTCTAAAATATCTTCGTCTTCCAAACGAATAAGTTCCCTTGTCTGTCCTTGGTTTGAGTATCTTATAGTTCTAGGACAATAGAGCTTGGCTGTAACTTGATGGTTTGGTTATAGGCAGCATTCTCTGTACACCCATACATCTAATTCCTTTGATGAAATGTTCGGCCGCTAGTTGTTCTCGCATTTCTACTGATGCAAATTAACCAGACGGCGGATATCGGCTGTAAATTTTTGTAAACTTCCGATAGCCTGCTGTGGTCTTGATCATAGCTGCATGTACCACGTAAAGCTGCCGTCGGTGTTAATCCACATAACGACGCTTTAACGTATGAACAAGAGCATCATAGTTTTGTTGGGAAGCTAATACACAACCTCTAGTACGATCAAACCATTAGCCAATGATGCCTGACTGTTTTCAGGTGGTGGCTTAACTTTAATACCTGTTGCAGGCGAAGCTGAGATATTTTCTGATCTTAAGTCACATTCCAACTCTTTAATTTTCTTCTCAAAACTATATGCTTCTTGGCGAAAGATTCCAACTTACTGACAAACAGTTCCAACTTCCTAATTAACAGTTCCAACTATCTGACGAACACTCCCAACTTCTTCGCGTACCTACTTTGCATTCTTGATTTTATTATCTTGCCGATACAGGATTTTTTCCAGTCTGGTTTGTTCTTCAGAGATAACGGTTTGAATTCTTTCTCCGTGAAACTCAACATTTTCCTGTTTTTTTTTTCTCTTTCTGTTTTATTGTTGTTGTAAAATTACTGCAAGCTGGTCCTGTTTTTCTTGTTTTTATTTTGTTCTCTGACCTTCTTGTTGTTGTGAAAATGCTTCAAGCCGGTCCTGTACTTCTTGTTTTTCTCTCTGCCTTTCTCGTATTGTCTGTCTTTCTGTCTTCGAATTTCCTTTTCTTGTTTTTCTTTCGATTTCCAATCTTCTCCTTGATGTAAAAGGTCTGCGAGCCGGTCCTGTTCTGATTGTTTTTCTTTCTGTCTTCGATGTTTTACTAACATTTGATTAACTTGTTCCATTTCGGCTGCTTGCTGTCGTGTATTCACCTCAATATATTTCTTGATTTCAAATAAATAAAGTCCACTGACAATGTCAAAACTCTTGTACCTTGTTTAATTTTCAAATAGAACACGATAGTATGTTCTGTATTTTTTTGATGTCAAACCGAGTGAAAACTCACAAAATTTCACTTATTGTTCCGACTAACTAGGTCAAATCAGTCTACTAATTATCTCGCCAAATATTTCAGTATTTAGCTCAAATTGATACACCAATTTCTTGCTAATTATGACAAACTAAATTTTCACGGATGGCACTAAAAACACAAAAAAAATTTTTTGGGTTACCTACATGAATTAAAATAGGTTAATTTAAATTAATATTTATAAATTTATGAGCACCTAAAGAAAAAAAAAAACAATTGTACCTTAGATATTTGTACAGACCTTACATGTCGCCAGGCGCATTAATGTGTACACATCCTTAGCATACTGTATCGGAATTTACTTCTCATATTTTTCGAGGTCTCACACGTCATGCCATGTCACAGAAACATGCCGTTTGTATTTACTTTCTTGAGAGGGGAACGTAATGAAAATAAATTTACAATAATTCCCAACAAAATTGTGGAGAACTTCACCGAATAAAATATTTCCAGGGATATTAAAAGAAACGCGTTTATCAAGATGGCGACTGAAGATCAAGGCCACAGGACGGAAATTATTGCCAAAAAAATACTACTTGCAACATACATGCTGCAGAGTATCTCGCAAAAGGGTCTGTTTTCAAATTAATTGTTCCTTTTTATTGAGAATTAGTATTTAAAAAAAAAAGTTCTCAATATATTTTCCATAAATAAATAATACAAAAATACTATAAAATGATATAACTTGAGTACATAATACCTAGGTACCTACTTTACTTTACTTAAAATGATTTCTTAGAAACGTGTAAATACAGTTTTACAGTTTTAATTATTGTATTTTGCGGGTTTCTTCTTATTTGTACTATTATTATTATTTGTAGTAAACTAACAGTTAAACCGGCAGGTGCTTGTGTTTCTTTCTAAGCAGAATGTTTTAACCATAGTCCATCTAGCTGAACAAATAGAAGCACTAAATAACAATTAACGAGAAAACCATCTCGGTTCTCTTATGTAAGAATGTTACACCTGAGTCACAGACATTACTAGGTATATTGTTGTTATTGTACCGAGGAACCCAGGCAGCTTTTCCGTAAAGGAATTGAATTTATTTTCAAATTATCCATTGGGGTTTTGTTTGTTCAAGTAAAGAAACGCAGCATTTCGTTGCAATATTGCAGCATTTTAAAAGGTTAGCTCTGCGTGCAAGCACTAATGATCCACACCACACATTCCACCCACATTAAGTATCAAGCAGTTGCTTCGAGGTTAATATTTCATACTTTGTTATTACGGTGAATTTTTGCACACCTATATTTTTACATATTGGAAAAATCACATTCCTTTGTCATGAATAAAAAATATTTTATCATGTTTAATAATATCAAATGATTAATTACCTTATGTTTCAGTAGCAACAGCTTTGAATGGTTAGCTTCATTTAATAGCTGTTCATTTGGATTTTCTGGAAAAAAAAAATATATATATATATATATATTAGAACGGCTGAGATTAATGCTCGGATTAATATATAATCTGGATTTATCTTCAACTAATGAACAAAGTGCATGTGTGTGTATCCAAATATTATTGGGGAAAAGTTGTGACGGCTTTAATCACAAACTCGCACCAGTTAAATATAGTTTTTTGTAATCTCGTAGCATATTTAGGTGTTCTTTTATGTATTTTAGCCAGTAGGTATACCTATCTTAAAAAGTATTAATAAACAAAACAAATTATTATAAATAAAGTACCTATGAGATTGACAAGCCTCTGGAAGAATAGTGTTTTACAGATTGATGCAACAAGAAATATTCTGAAAAAAAGATCATTTTATCCAGATAAAGTACCTTTTTTGTTCCAATGGTGCGACAAAATATATCACAAAAAAGTTTTTCAGAATATAAAAATTATGGCCTCATGTGAAATTCTAGAAAGATCGGTCGACTTTGACGAGCGTTATTTTTCAAAATACATGAATAACTGTCCCTATTGAATAGCCTAGAGCTCTACTTACAAAAATTTCCCTACAATTGAGATTTCATATACCTCTTTCTTATACAACTGACTTAAATCTAAATCAACACCAAAAAAAAAGATGGTTAGAAGAAACAACAACAACAAAGTGTATGTTTTCTCTTTACTTGAAGGAAGAGGAGTTCAAAAGAAAGAAAAGCGAGAAAAAAAGAATTAATAATTATAGACAAATTCACCTGATCTAGTTAGGTAACCAACAGTTATACATCGGCAATATAAATGAACGAAAATATGCATGAGCTACTTGCTACATTTTCCGATGTGTTCCACAAATAATTGAACAGCATCTTCGAAACTTCTTTCAAAGCAACATTTTTAACATGAATATTTACAACGCCGCCAAAATGTGTAATATTTTTGGTAAATGCCTAGGTAGTTTTCATGTTTGAAAACTACTTCACAATAAATGGCAATATTATGTAACTAGTTTTGTCCACACTTATTTCCTCATACTTCGCTTCTTTCCCCATGCTAAGAAAATACAGGTTCTAAAAATTTGTGAATAAACTCTTTTGTAATTAATTTCGAATTGAATCCTACCACTTGGTTTTAGGTACTTACAACCTTTTTAAAAGACTAACGATGAATGGTGGCTCAACATTCTAGTTTAAAATAAAATATAGGAAACCATTAAGGTAGGTATGTGGCAAGCTATTATTTTTTACCTAAATATCATCAATATTAGGTAGTTATGAAATTTGGTCTAAATAACGCAAATACGGCTTACTTTCACCTGTGCACCTTGGTTCCTAGCGCATGGTGTGTGTATCCTGTGTGGTCTACCATATTTAAGTAGCTAAATTTTTGACTAACATTAGATTATTATCGGTTAGTAAAATATTTGCACAAGTCATAAAATGCATGAGTATCAAAAAACATAAATTACCTCACAATGTTTCATAAGCCTGAAAATACAGACATCCGCGGAATAATACCCATCTAGCCTTAGGTATAGCAAGACAAAAATAACAAGATATAGTTTAGGACGCGTGCAAAAAATGTGCATCTCACTTTGAGACTGCATAATCAATATGACTTAAATATTACAGTTTCCTTTAAATTTAGCATCCTGACTCATCCAGGCAAGGATTGCGACAAACAAACGAATGTGACTTTCAAGTTTGAAATTGCAATAGTCCAGCGAGGTTATAACTGATTTTTCTCAATTATAGATTGCACCATTAACTGAAATATTTAATTTTAACACCACTACTTGCTCTCTGTCGAAACTTGGATTCTCATTGTAGATTGAGCGACAAATCATCAATGAAATTTCTTGAGCCTGTAAATTATTTGAAGTCCCAGTCATTAGGGAATAACAGATTTAGTACCAAACAAGCTCTTTGCGAAGGTGTAAAATCCATTTATCTCACTGAGCGCTTTTCACTCCACCACCCTAGCGGCTGGCGTCTTTCCAGGATCAGCGGTCAGCTCCACCAAAAAAGAAAAAATTTTTGAAAAATCATCAACTTATATATACAACAGAATGGTTCATTATTTGATGAGAAGGGATTCTTTAGCGAAAACGATATTTTGTGTCATGCTTACTGTCAAGCGTACTGGCTGAGCATGAGGCACTGTGCAGAAACCCATTTTGTATATTTACCGAGGGGTCAACCACTCTGTAAAAATGTGTACACGTACGTATTGCGAAAATGTCGGAATTTCGCATGTATTTCGCGAAATTCAAAGTATTTCGGTGGTGGTAATTCGAACCTAGTTTTTCGTGGTATTTCGAGGTAATTCGGAGTATTTCAAGGTAATTCGAAGTATTTCGTGATAATTCGAGGTATTTTGAGCCCCGTTTCGAGCTATTTAAAAGTATTTTTTTATGTACCGAGAACATTTAATTCTCATCACCTGAAATTGAAATATTATAGAATGAAAATTATAGTCCATCTTTGAACAGGCTAAGTACAGGGTGGACCATAAGTCCGTTTACATTTCAATTGAAGCCGTAATTGAAAATTTCCACTCCAGGTTGCAGCAGTGTCAAAATAATCAAGGATCACATTAAGTATGGATGATGTAATTTTCAAAAAATAAAATCTCTATCTGTGTACTTACTTTTGTAAAAAATTAACATTTTTTCTCCAACTTTTCTAGTTTTTTTTTATCATTGTTGTGAAAAGACTTTTGGTCCACCCCGTATATTGACATAATTTGGATTTATTGCATATTAATTGAAACAAATGGAAAGATATATCTATTCACAATCCGATGTCCAAAGATAAAGGTAAAATTTATCACCTTTCAGTGCTATTTGATAGGGATAGGTAATAAATTTACCTTTACCTTTGGACTACGGATTGTGAATAGGATATACTTGATATGTATAGGTAATCAATGTCAGTTAATAGTACCTAACAGCTTTGTAGAACTAACAATCACCAGGGCTGGGCCTCTGTAACGGATATAGATCGTTATCCCTATTGACCCTATCGCCATCGCTATGGCACTTGCTATCTTCTGTCTTTTCGAAATCAATAGAGAGGGGACGTCAATAGAGATAGAAAAATATCTCTATTCGTTATAGAGTCCCACCTCTTCATTACTAACAATTGATTAAATTGTGTATCGTGTGTGTCCGAATAAAATCCATGATATCAAGACACAAAAATCCGAGCCAAAATTCTTTACCGCAATCCACAAGAACACTCGTCATCAACGAGAATTTTTTTAGAAGTATTGCGGGACTTCGCGCTGGAATTTGAGGGTATTTCGCGTACTTCGACGGTAATTCCATGGGATTTCGCGTACTTTGACAGAAATTAGGAGGCCATTCGATCACGACCTGTAGAAAATGAAAGAACTATTCAACTATTTATTCCGTTTTAATAATTGTTTCGTTAAAATACGCAATGGATATGGACGGAATATAACCGCCTTCTCAAGAATATCGTCATAATTACCACTGGAATGGCAGAAAATACCTACATTACTTGGGAAAGTTCGAGTTGGGTCCCAATTCTAGCAGGTATATTTAATTATGGTCTAGTTGGGTCCGGCCTAGGGCCTAATTGGGTCCGCAATAATATTCAAATAATTGAATAAAACTGAATTTTAATAGGACAGTGTTGCCGATTTAGGATAGTTTTCTGAATTTCATGGTAGGTACCCCAAGTAATTAATTGGAGGTTCGAGAGGGTGGTATTACAGGTATATTTCTTATTGTTATAAGGTTGGTACCACATGGTTATTAAGTTCACTCGCTATTCAAATTCGTTTGATGTTAATTGAGCTGTTTAAAGTGTCGTTAGTGAGAGTAGATAAGTTAGAAAAATGGAATGTACGCTACTTTCAAGTGAGAAAGGAAAATCGCTGTTACTGATTAACGGGTACAAATTTTGCTTCCAAAAAGACTTGAAAGGTGGTGTAAAAAGGTGGATATGTACATGCAAAAAATCATTTTGCAAAGCCTTTGTGAAAACAACTGGGGAGAACCTCATAATCGAATCAACGTTGGAACATAATCATGAAAAACAACCAAATCATCTCTTAACTCGCCAAATTTTGTCTCAATCCGTCAAGAGAGCAGCTGTGGACAACCCTACGGAGAAACCCATGAAGCTGATACGTCAAGAATTATATAAATCCGATCTTGAATCAGTAACAACACACGACATTACTAGAGCAAGAAGAAATGCTTATCACGCCAGAACATCGATTTTGTGTAAACTTCCCAAAAACGTCCAAGAGTTTCAAGAAGTGATAGAAGCCAACGAGGTAAAAACAAACCACAATGAACATTTTCTTTTGCTAAACGATAAAGTTAATCATATTGTTATTTTTTCAACAAACACTAACATAAAATTTTTAACTGGTGTTCTAGATTGGTATGTTGATGGAACCTTTCAATATTGTCCAACATTTTTTGCACAACTTTTCACAAAGCAGGTATTTCCCCTCTCTAACATTAAAGGATGTAGATTTCACTTATGCCAGGCCAAGAACTACGTGAAAATAAGATAGACAAATTTGAATTTGTTAAAACGATATCATATCGTTTTAAAGCCAAAAATGAATGAAACACCATTTTTTTAACAATTTTATTATACCTACCTATATCTAATTATATTTTTGGATTTTAATGTAATTTTAGTTGTTAATTTAGGTTAAGTTGCTTTTTAGTTAGTACTGTTTTTTTATACGTTACTAATAATTCAATAAAGTTGTAAATTTGTGTAGATATATATTTTTTTTTAATTCCAACATACCCAACTATATTTTGTTAGGAATTTAGAAGTGCGGCAACAAGGCCATTTTTTTCCTAGAATCTAAAATATCTTCTTCGGTCCCAATTCGACCCACACCTTTTTGAAGGCAGATAAGTGGATAAGGTTTGGGACCCAACTCGGATGCGTCCCATTACTTCACTATCTTCAATTTCAATTTATTAACAACAAATTTTAAGTAAAATATGGTTTT